AAAAGTTTCTCTACACACTAATGAGCCAAATTTCAGTGCTTGTTACAGGTTGTCATTGGATGATTATGAAGGTTTATTGTTAGTACACTTATCAATACGGACTGTAAAAATATGGACAAATATGGAGAGTGAAGCTCTCACCGCAGGGAACAAGATGCATATTTTTATTTATTTTTTGCCCTTCTCCTGGCCTCTCAATATTTTTGTGTATCAATAATTTAATTTTCTGCCCAGAAAATATTATATTTTGTGTAGTGACAACCTTGTTCCAAGTAGGAATCTTGAATCCGTGAGCTGTGGTAGCATTTTCGGGGCCAATTGGTGCGTTAGCAGGTTGACGCTCAGCGGTGAGAACTTCAAGCATTTTTTTGTTATCTTCTTCACTCCATTCAGCCTTGAGGTTTGAGCTTTTTGGCGTTTCGGTGATTGGCGGCTTCGGAGCAATGGGCTGGGTTGGAGTTGACGAGATCAAGGGCATTGGTTCCAGGCTAGGTGACTGAGGTACATCTGGGTGTTGGATCGCTCTAGGAGCGCGTTTTCGCACGGGCTTGGGTGTAGTGGTGGTACCCATAGCCGTACCAAATAGGAGAAGAGACAGTAAACCGACGAGAGAGTAAAGAGAGAGTAAACCGAAGAGAGAGTAAACCGAGGAGAGTAAACCGAAGAGACCAGATTGAAACGAGGAGAGAGTAAACCGAATAGACCAGATTGAAAGTAAAACGACGAGACAGTAAAACGAGGAGAGAGTAAAACGACGAGACACACTACAAGAAATATAATATTTTCTGGGCAGAAAATTAAATTATCGATATACAAAAATATTGAGAGGCCAGGAGAAGGGCAAAAAATAAATAAAAATATGCATCTTGTTCCCTGCATTGAGAGCTTCACTCTCCATATTTCTCCGTATTTTTACAGTCCATATTGATAAGTGTACTAACAATAAACCTTGATAATCATCCAATTACAACCTGTAACAAGCACTGAAATTTGGCTCATTAGTGTTTAGAGAAACTTTTGAATTCTGAAAACACCCATAACTTTGTCAAATCTGCCTCAAAACACTTGATTTGAGGTGCATTAGAAAGCTGTACTCCCGTTCTCAAACTTTCATAAGATCAAGAACTATGTAGCTAGTATGACAAACATTCTATGGATCTGTATGTACAAATGTATAAACAAGATGATATCCTTTTTAGCAGACCAGCATGCTGTGTGGTCTTATTATGAACTATTTGGAGGACCATTCCAGCTTGCCAATGCACTCAAAATCGAGCGTTTTGGCCCGGAATTGAAAAAGTTATGAGTTTTCTCAGAAATCAAAAGTTTCTCTAAACACTAATGAGCCAAATTTCAGTGCTTGTTACAGGTTGTAATTGGATGATTATGAAGGTTTATTGTTAGTACACTTATCAATATGGACTGTAAAAATACGGAAAAATATGGAGAGTGAAGTTCTCAACGCAGGGAACAAGATGCATATTTTTATTTATTTTTTGCCCTTTGCCTGGCCTCTCAATATTTTTGTGTATCAATAATTTAATTTTCTGCCCAGAAAATATTATATTTCTTGTAGTGACAGTAAAACGACGAGACAGTAAAACGACAAGACAGTAAAACAACAAGACAGTGGTTGAGAATCGAAGAGTATTATTGGTAAGATAAAAGACTACGAGCGAAGAAAGACAACGAGACAGTAGTTGAAGGACGGAAGATAAGACGACAAGGGAAGAAAGACGAGACGGAGACAGTATAGAATACCATAGAGTGGTTAAAATAAAACACGACGAGACAGTGGTGAAATAACTCAATCACAAGTCGAAGCTAGAGCTAGACGGAGACGATGATAGGAAAGAAAGGTGAATGGGCAAGGGGTTGTGAAGCATTTATAAGGTGGAGGGGTGGCAAGGCGAAGATACTATCATAGAGCTGGACCAAGGATGAGAGGAAAGAACGGTGAGTGAGCAATTGAAAGGGTGGAAGGGTAGATAGAGGATGGGGTGAACTGTGAATTGATCGATTGAAGTGGGGCAAAAGGAACTTTTGGGTTTCAAAAACAGCCTCAAGGCTGTTTTTTGAAATCGGACAGTTTTTGATCAAAAACTCTTTTTGTTTTTGATCAAACAAGGTTCCCGAACGCCGGAATTTTTGGCCAAAATCAAAAGTTACTTTTGGTCAAAAGCGCTTTTTGACTTTGGTGAAGCTTTTGGCCAAAAGTAACTTTTGGGTTCCAGCCGAACGGGCCTTTAGACTTTGTATTTGGAGGGGGCCTCCCTCATAGGGCTTCACAGTTTTGAAGCAGTAAAAAGGCGTGTAATGAAAAACTATGATTTCACTACAGCGTTGTATTGCTTGTATTGTAATTACACGGTTCCCAATTTTTCTGTTCAACATTTCAACTTTTCCCTAGTTTGAAGGCACCTAGTACATACTAGCATACAAACTTATGAAAGGAAATGGATACAATGCGCTCAGGAGATCGTGACGGATATAAACACGCTCAAAGTGAGCTAACATCTGTTTGATTTTAATACAATTCCCTGCTACCCTTCTACAATCAAGTCAATCGGTCTTCCCTTCAAGTTCTCAATCCTAATTCTCTTGCTGATATCTGAAACATTGTGAGTAAACGAGATTCAAAAGAGTCAACGATCGACTGTACACAAGATGGATGAAAGTTTGAACATATATTGAACAGATACCACACAGGTGAATATGTATTCGAGAGATCGAGTTCAAGCGAGTTGAAAGACGTTCAAAATATAAGAGTTGAGATCAATATCTTGGAATGAGAACTATTCATGGAAAAGAGTCAAGAACGTCTTTGAAACAAGCCAATGACCATCGAGATGATCTACAAGTCGTAGAGAAAGGATGACTTGATATGAAAAGAAGTGTAAAATGAGTTGTTGATGAAGTTTTGAATTTCATTGAGAGGCGAAGTTCGAATGGTTTTTATACTAAAAATTTGAGTGATATCATGAATGACATCATACAAGGTTGTAAGCTTTAGAAAAACGGTCAACTGCACAGCACGCATTACCTAATATCTTCATCTCGATTCGCAATCACCATGCAATCTTGAGTAGAAGACTCACGCGGTTATGAGCCAGTTTGCACGGTGGCTACAATGAGGTCCTCAGGTGATCTCATGGTGGCCAGAGCCGATGCGATAATCACACGGTGATCGATGTGGTGAACATGGATTTGTTCACCGTGGTTTGCGACCTGATGGCAGCGCGGTCCTACTGCTGCTGGCTGCGACAGCACAACAATGCGGCTGTAGCCTGCAAAGCTATCACGTGGCTGATAGCCATCTGAGACTCAAATCGAATTCTCTGTGAAACTCATGCAGCCTCTGACCGCACCCTGGCAGCCCTGTTTTGCTCAAAGGCTCACCCGTGGTGTATGTACTTAAAGACTTCCACTCTTGACATCCTCAAGTTGGATTAAACTTTTTGGAGGTGAAATGTACAGTCCCCTACCAAAATTATACGTAATTTGAAATTTGAGACCCCTCCACGTCACTACCTCCATACACAAAATTCAGCAAAAGTTCAAACCACCCAAGCCGACTGACTAAATCAAGCAAGGACAGGTTATCTGTGAGCAGGTATATAGCTTGTGTACAATGAAATACATGGACTTACTTAGTGTGAAAGAAAGGTTTCACCAACGGGTTGGTCCACCTTTATTTTTTATGACTTTGTTAAGTTGCTCGGGCATAGATGCCACCAACGATTGTAGCTTATTGTTCGGAATAGCCCACCACTCGCTGATGATGGCTGAGATCATCTCTTGGCGTGATCAAGGCTTGTCCTTCTTAGAAATCGTATCCTTGAGGAGCTTCCAGAGATCTCAATCGGGTGAGATCGG